ACGTAATCAACTGTTGGCTAGTCTTATTTATTTGTTGTATTTTTGTGTTAGATTTTACATGAATTTCTGTTTAGTTCGTTTGAGTATGGTCTTATTTTAAGTATATACAAACTGTATTAGAAATTCGTAACATCCATTTGAAGACATCAATAGAAAAAAATCCAAAGTTCGACGTAAACGAATTATCTTTTGAAAATTTCTGTATCTTTTATATTGTTTTAATAATTGGGATATAGTATATAATGTGATCAAGATGTAGGTAGTATGAATGGATTTGGACTTATATTTGATTTTAATCTTGTCTACTCAATCATTTCGAATCAATTTCTGAAACAGAGATGTTCATCGCAGTTGAGAATCTGCCGCTGTCGCTGTGGCGTTCGCGGCGCGGTGGCGACAGCGCCGCCATGGACATTTGTGTTTCGAAATGAATAAAAAAAATTCCGTTTATATTCAATTACTCCGTTATCTGTGCTAGGTAACTATATAATACTTAACTAAAGTTTTAAATTTTTGTAATATTCAATTCAGCTAGTCAATCATTTGAACAAATTATATCTTCAACAACTGTACGATCTAATACGACTATATCAAACTTTTCATCTGCAAGAGAGACATTACTTTTCACAGAAAACGAATCTATTCGTATGTTATCTGATAGAATTAATTAGTTTGATTTTTGTTTTCGTATTAGTTGATATTGATATTTGCTTAAGAAAATAAAGATTTTATATCTGATATTTATTGCGAAAAACAAAATTCAAATAGTTTCTTCAAAACTTTAAAAATACTGTCAATTCGAAAAATGAACAATTTTCATTTTATATATTTAAAATCAGTTCATTCATATAATCAAACATCGTCTAGTTCGAGATTAAATTAAGTAATTGTTTAGTATCTTGATTAATAATATAATATACAATAAAGGAGATTAAATTGAAAATTCAATCATAATTTTTGTTTTAATATCATCATTATCTGTTGATTCTCCATCAATGAATTCAATTTTTGCTTTTCTATCTAACCAAAATTGTTTTTCTAAAAAGTTATCTTCAATTAAAACTCGAGCGATATTTATTTCAGTATGAAATAAAAATATGTATAATGTAAATTGTTTAAGTTTTAATAAATATTTTTCAATTAAAATTTCCCATTGATTACAATCTAAATCATCATAATTTGTTGGAAAAAAAGAAATTACTAATTTTTCTAAATTAGGACATTGTTTTAATAAATAAACAAGTAATTCTAGTGCAGTTGAACGTACTGATAAATCACAAGCAATTAAATTTAATGATAAGGGATAATCAATAATGTGTTCCTTTAATCTAATACTTGCATTTAAATACTGAAGTTTTGAAAAATGTGAAAGTATATTTTCTGTATCATTAATTTGTATGTGATGTATAAATAAACGTTGAAGAGTCGAAGATATTTCTGTTGATAATAGAGAACGATTACGACAAATAATTTCCTTATCCTTTGATGCCGATAAAAATAAGTATGTTAATGATTTTAAACGGGAACTAAAATTGTAAAGAATAGCTCCGTACATATCTAATACTTTCTCTTTACATAAATCCGATCGAAATGATATTATTAATGATTTAAGATTATCTAACTGAAAATGTTGTTGAGTAATGGTATGCATTGTATATAATCCAATATAATCAAGCATTAACGCATTTAAAGAAACCATATTTTTCAATGGAAAATAACTGTTATCTAAAATTCGATCTATCTGTTCATCATAATATTCATTCGATAATACAAGAGTATTCACATGTGAACAATTAATAGTTGAAAACATCTTCAGTAAAAAAATAAATATTAAATTAAAATCTATAAAATAATTACCTTTCGACTTTCATTGAATGTTATCTTACTTAGATCGATATATTTGATGCCATAGGTTAATACTAATGTTGATAAACGATGATTAAGACCATAAAATGCTTCATAACTATCATAGCCATTCATATACGAAAATATTTGAACAAATATTTCAGGTGAAAAAACTTCTAATGTAGCCATTGATTTATTGGACATTTCAATAAATAATGAGAATTATCTGTTTGTACACGTTCTCTTCTTTCTACAATATTTTTTCTTCTAAAATACAAAATATGAAGAACATTTTACATATAATTATATAAATGGTAAAATTCAATCATTTTTTATTCATAGTAAATTTTCCAAAAAAATATGTTGTAAGTTCAATTCAATGAAAAGAAAAAAGTTCGCTTACGAGTATATATTAAGTGTGATTCATTTATCTTTACTTTATAAATGAAGATAAAATAAAGACAGATAAGAATCCATTCTTCAGAATCGCAGTGTTTAGTTTAGAAAATATGAAGCAAACAACTGCTATAAATATCATTTATTCTTAAATTGAAACGTTACAAGTATCAGCAAAAAGGAAACTTCCAACTTTTAAATTTACTCATAGGTCATCTTCAGGCAAATGCTTCGGGACCACACATTGTCGGGCGAAACCTAGCCGCTCTTCGTACGGTACTGATCTTCAATCACACTGCTGTAACCCTCAACAGTGTTACTATTTCCGGATTATCTCGCTCAACTTCGTCTCTCGAACTTAGTCATTACCTCTGTGTTACTCATAAAAAATAATTTGCATACTAAAGAAGATTGAAAGAGTTGATTAGAACACGTTTATAAACAATCCAACAATCGATCTATTCGTTTTATGGTAACAGGTGAGCAGAAGAAAAGAAAAAAATAGTTATGATGGTGTGCCCGTTTCTAACGTATTGTGATGACCTGCCCGTTGCTAATGTAAAACTGAAATCATAAACATAAGGTCAAATAGAGGGAAGAAGTGAAAGAAGGGTCATAAGGTTAGATGAAAGAAAGAAATCGGTAAAGATTATACAATAAATTTACAGAAGGGATCAAAAAGAAAGTATCAGTACTAAAAAAATTCAAAGTAAACCTATTACAATAAACCATAATTCATCAGCTAACTTTCGAGAACCACACACTACGCCAGAGTTTACCATAGGAAAACAAAGACAGCAAGAACAATGAAGTTTATGATTGTACACTTTTTCTCAAGATATATGTTAATGACATATCGTTATAAGCAATTCGTAACAAGATTACTGACTATTCATATGACCATTCTATTCTATAAAAATCATTCCAAGAGACAAAAAAAATAAGGAGCTGGAGTCTGTTAAGTGTCTTAAATAAAGAAAGGGAACAAGATGAAGAGGAGAGGAAAAAAGAGTGAATCAGAAGTGACTGACCAACTGACTGACTGACTTAAAATACGTTAGCATAGCTATTTATAGATGCATGCGAAAAGAAAAAAGAAAGAGGTAAACGATGGACTGATCAGAATCTATCACACTATTACATTTAATAACATAGTATGATAATTTTTTTATTGCTAATTCAACAAAATAGAAACAGAGTAACGCTTTTAGCATATATTATCTCATAGATAATGAAATACAAATTATTAATCAGAAGTATAATATTTCAAATATATATCTATTGTATTCTTTGATATAGTAGTAGCAATATTTTTTTTCTTTTAAATATTTGTTAGAAATATTTTATCAAATATTATATTAGATGAATATAAAGTATAACAACTGTAAAAAAAATCATGACTTGTCGTTCTAATCAGATTAAAAACGTATTTTACAACTATTACATGTCAAATATTTAGATATATTCATTATTCCGACAAATTTAATACATAGAGTCAAACGTTTTTAATATAAATGCCAATTTCTATTTCATTGATATTCACCTTTCGAAATTCAATATAGATAATTAACTGCCATAGATATTTGTATATCTGTACCCTTTCAATTGGGTGTGGATGGGGGTGTGATGTGACTTTGTGTAATAAATAAACTACACCCACACCCACACTCATCCTGTTGACGATTGGTCATCGAGTTGTTAGATATTTCATGAAATGGTGATTAATAGGTGTTTTGCGACAAACCTCATGAAAATGCTTTTTTACTTCTGTTCTTTGGATCATCTTGGGGATGTGAATGTGGTTGTACGTACAAAGAAGATCAACATCCACATCTCCGAGATGGTTGTTTATGGTGTCCAAGCTCCAACTAATAATATTACATTTGGGTTGAGTGTACTTTTCAGTTTTATTTATAGTACAATGATTATGTTTTGCCGAAAATTAAAAATTATCGACTAAACAAGATTCTCTCCACCAATATTTACAACTACATATGAAATGTGTTTTGATTAAGGATGAATGTGATCTTTTTTTCTAATGACTTGATTAGCATATGATAATGTGTCTAGATCTTCTCATTCGTAGAAAAAAAAGGAAAATATGTATCTGCACACGTTTTACTCTGACAGGTACTGTCGTAAGAGAGTATTGTCTATGTTATTTTCGACAAATCTAACCATTTCTGTTGATTCACGTGCACTTTGTGTATCTACCCATCCAGAAAGTTCCGAAGAGAGACGGTGGCAATATTCCATCACGAGCTCGAAGTGTCTGTCTGCTTCACCAATGTTGCCGGAAAGTCGCTGTTGATGGCCAGCTTTTCGATGAGCACAAATTGCAATGGTTAAAAGAGTTTCGACTAACTGATTTTCAGGGAATAAATCGACTACTTTTTGTGTTCGTAGTTCATTGGCACTAGTCCCGGCAGGACAGTAGGCGTAAATTTCAACATTGTTAGGTGTTGCGTGAAACTGATGAATGAAATCTATTGGAATGAACAGTGAAGTTTTAGCGGTGATCTCGTTGCTTAGTGTTTGAGCTAAACATA